ACATACATACATACACACACACATATACGAAGGGAAACAATCAGAAGAAAATAAAATTGCTAAAAGTGATTATGTTGGAGTAGTAGGTAAAGAGATGTATTTTTGCTATATACATGTAAATGTATTACTTATTAAAAAAATACTCACAAAAAAAAAAGACATTAATTGGAACATTTCCTGAGCTACTGTGGTGCTTTTTTAGTTTTTTTCCTACTTTTGTTAAGGTCTTTTCTGTATGTAAGTGTGATTACTGTGAAAAAACAGTTTAGTTTTCTTTTGTTCCCCCCATTCTTCTCTCAAAACATCTTTGATGCTTATTTGTGCAGTTTTCATATCCATATTTCTTAACGGCTATATAATTTCATCCAACAAAAATGACACAATTTTTATATACCCGTATTAGGTATTTTTACTTTGTATTAGTATTAATGTTACAACAAACTTATTTTTTTTTTTGCCTGTAGGTGTTCACTGAGAAATGAAACCTCAGGGTTTCATAGAACTGTAATTTCTATTTCTTTTGATTACCAGTGAAGAAATCAAGAGTCTTAATGGGTTTAAAAAACACATCTGGTATGAATTCTTTAAAACTAATTTTTTTATTCTACCTGTTGCAATTATTTTTCTAATATTATTATGGTAATCTTACAATGATAAAGTTATTTTGAAAACAGATAAACATTGTAATGTAGCCAATTCTGCTTCTATACTGTTTTCTAATTTCTTTTAGTACGTGTATCTGCTTGTAAAAAGTTAGGAAACACTAATATTTTCCTAGTTTATATTTAATACTTTTTTTTAAATTTAAGGGCACACTTTATGACAATTTAAAAGGATTTTAAAAAATATGGTTAAGTAGTGGTACCCATATTATTTACAAGATCTTTGCCTGACTTCCTTTTGTCATTGTTGATTGACTGCCGCTGAGCCGAGCATGACTCATAGCGACTCGAAGGCCTGAAGCCTTTCTGTAACTATCATCATTTATCAAAGTTCATAGTTTCCAGAGGCATGCACCTTAGGAAGTGGATGCCACTCCTGCTTCCAGTAAACATTTATAGTATCATTTATTTTATAGTAAATCTTTCTTTAAAACCCCTCTCAGATTCTTAACAGAATGCTATGCTTCATTCTTAAAAATATTTTGTTTACGTTTTAAATAAGGCCTGGATAAAAATACATAAGCATCTTATATCAATATATTAAATATAAATAGCAATAAAATAAGTAAAATACTTACCACTGGTTTGGCAATATTAGAAAGAAGTGCTTCAACTGCTTTAGTTTCAGCATCTTTTTCTTAGGGGGGGAAAAAAAAACCAAACTAATTAAAAACCTCTTAAATACTACCCTTCTCTCCCAAAGATCTTCTGAACAAGTTGGTATTTTAGACATGTTTTCTAATTTATGTCCTTAAGTTTATACATAATTTATGTTCTAAGCTTCTTTTTCGAGAATTCAGGTATCATATATACACTGAAGTTTTTAGCCCTTTAGCATTTTCAGTTTTAGCTTCAATTTTCATTTGAACTGATATTACTAATTCTAACACCATTACTATTTATCTGCTAGCACCTGTTAGCTGTGTGTTGGGGTCTTGTGTGCTGTGAGGATGGAAGCCATGCCACCAGCAGTCATGTATGCAGTGTCAGTTTCAGTGGTGTACCTAGACTAAGACAGACTAAGAAGGACTTCTGAAAGAAAAGGCCATTGAAAATGCTATTAAAAAAACCAGGAGTAGAACATTATCTGATACAGGGCTGGAAGATGAGGTCCTCAGGTCTGAAAGAAAACAAAAGTTTTCTAACCTGAGTGTTTCACCTTCCAGTCCTATGTTAGTATTCTGATATTCTTCCAAGAGTCTTACATTACTGCCTTGGAAAGAGTTAACATGTCCCAACAATTAAGGACCTTCATCTGCTGGTGTTGCATGGTCCCAAATACGGAGAAATAGCTGCTAATATCTATTAATAATGGAATTATGTGAGCCTAGGAAAATTAGAAGTTGTCAAAAATGAAATGAAATATATGAAAATTGGTACCTGTGGGGCTAAGGGTTTATTGTTCGAAATGGCTTCTCTAGTCATTGACTCTGACATGTAGATGGGTAAGAGAATGCAAATAGCCTATCGACACAAATCCTGGGTAACAGTGTAAAATATCAAGAAAGTGGCATCAGGATGAGAGGCTGGCTTAATATCAAACTGTAGTATGAAAAAACTTTGCTTGCTGAAAACAAAGTAGACTTAAAACATTTACTGTTCAAGATCAAAGACAGTATAGATTACATCTTAACATAAAGAAAACAAGAACTGTCCTATCAGGATCTATAAATGCTATCATGATAAATTGAGTTGTCAAGTACTGAATTTTTCTTAGCTCCACAATGAGTGCCAATGGAATCAACAATCAAGTAATCAGATGACTTACTGCACTGAGCAAATATGCTTGTAACAGATTTCTTTAAAGTACTGAAAACCAAGGATTTGTGTGCCTGACTCAAGCCCTGGTATTATCAATTGCTTTATACAGATACAAAAATTTAGACAACAAATAAGGAATTTCTTGAATTACGGTATTGGTGAAGAAAACTAAGTATACCACAGCTTTGTAAAGCAAATGTGCACCCAGAATGCTCCTTTGAAGGGAGGATGGTGAGACTCTGTCTCAAATACTTTGGGCATGTTATCAAGAGAGGGCACCCTGAAGAAAGATGACATACTTGGTAAAGTACAAGGTCAGCAAAAAAGAGGAAGACTCAACCCGAGGGACCGACACTTGAGCTGCAACCATGTTTACAGCAGGGACTGTGAGAAGGACTGGACGGTACTTCACAGAGTCATGGAGAGTCCGTCAGGTTGATGGTACCTAGCAACCATCACCACCACCACAACATATATACGCGTGCCTCTGTCAACACGTTAATGATTATTTGTTCATATGGAAAGGTGTACTACTGCTGACAAAGAGACTGTAACTATGAGCTTAAGAGTGCGGGAGATGGTGAGGATGGCACAGGACAGGGCAAGGTTCACAACTGTTGTTCACTGGGACGCTGTGAGTTGCAGTCAACTCAACGGCCCATAAAACAACAAAACTAACATGTACCATAGTATTTATTAAATACGTTAAATGTGCTACATGATGCTCTAGCTTCTAAAATCAAAAGAAAAATCTTACATGGCATTTAAACTCTTGAAACATTCAGTATTACAACAAAACAAAACCCAAAAGGATTTCTCTAGAGAAATTCTGGGGATTTGGTGTTAAGCAGCTATGCCGCCAGCACAAACTCATGGGGCTCAAATTCATCAGGTGCTTGGCAGGAGCAAGAGGGCAATCTCCTTTGTGATTCAGTTCCTCTGAAAAGCCAATGCAGGGTCAGCTATGAGTTGGCTGCGACTCAGTGATATATTAACAACTGAGCAAACTATATAAGGAGGAGTAAGAGGCCTATCATTACAGTCAACAGTAATTTGGCACTTATTTTGTAGGAAAACAGTCATGTTTTTAATCCCGTTTATATTTATGTAAAACACAGGTATGGAGCTAGTAGTTAGAAAGTGTAGTGGTCCAGAGTTCATACTGTAGAAATCACTGATTTGAAGGACCCAAGGGAAACTTGGAATGATGAAGAACTTTGAAAGAAGATGTTAATTCTTTCTCTTACCTGTAGACTATATTATAGCGAGACTAATAAACGATGTACCTACTCACTCTGAGAAGCACGCTGGTGGTGCAGTGGATTGAGATCTGTGTTTCCAGCCTAAAGGCCCGCGGTTTATATTCATAAGTTGCTCCATGGTAGACAGATGTAAAGATCATAGCCTTGAAAACTTGGAACTTGGGGCAGTTCTACTATCATTTTTGTTTTACTATAATAGATAGTTTTATTTTTAAATTTTTTTAATTGTGATTTTACAGAAAAGTTGGATTTTCATTCATTCATTGTTACAGCAAGTTCTACTATCTTACAGGGTTCGTATGACCAGGCATTGATGGCGGTCAGTTTTTGGTTAAGTTGTTATGAGAGGCTTTTAAACAAATAAACGGGGGGAAATGAGATTTGATAAAACCCAGTGTTATCTGATAAAAGGCCTGGAAAAGGAATTAAACTCACGTAAGCTTTTTCTGATACTGGGTTAGTAATATGTAGTATTCAGATCAATTACTAAATGAAATTTTCCAAATGGATAAAACGAAATACTCTAATAAAATTTAGGTTCCCTATTTTTTTCTCATGTTTGGAAGTGTCAAGTTATTAACTTTTAGTTCATATGAAAAAATAATTGCAGGGTTAGAACACATTCCAGTAGGTTAAACACTGAGGAAAAGAGAATGACTGAGGAAAAGTAAAAATAACTTTGGACTTGACATGGTTACCTTCTATTTCCATATCAACTTGTGTGGTGCTTTTCCCTCTCCCTGATTTGCTCTTTGTTGACCCGGTGTTTAAACCACCAGCATTCTGCCCTTTTATAAATCCGTCATTATGTTCAATTGTAGGAGAAGGGCATTTCTGGGGTGATGACGGTGGACTGCTTATTTTATCTTTTTGTGTTAATTGACGATCCTTTAATTTTTTCTGCAAACGTTCATATGTTTTACTAGATCTTTCATCTCTAAAGTTAGATCTTCCATGTATAGGGTGAGCATCTAGAAAGAAAGAAAAATTGTTACAAAGGTCACTTTTCCCCAAACATGTTTATAGCATCATTAAGCTGTATAATCTTATAAAGTGTTTCAAAGCAATAATTTTGTAAAACAAAGTTATTTGTCTCTCCCCAGCTGATAGACCAAGCTTTGTTTTAAATGTACAAAAACTTGTGAATTTTTCCATCTGTAACTACTACCCTTCAAAGAGACAACCTGGAGTTATGTTATGATTACTGCAGCTGGAAAATGAGATCAGAACTGACTTGTGTATTATTTTTTTTCTTCTGAAGTCATAACTTTTCACATCTTGGTCAACATGAAAATATAAGATAGGTAAAATGAACTAACACTGACTGCTTAAATTCCTTTCTGACTCAAAAAAAAGCAAATCATCATTTAAGAAGAAAATTTAGGGAGCTAGCAAAAACAATTGAATGAAACAGTTTAGAAATAACAGAGTCTAGGCATAAAATTAATGATGTCAATCCGGATGCCACATTCCTCCTCATAAAGTCCAGACTCCTGAATGATCTATTCTGTATATAGACTGAAAAGGTAGGGGAGATAGGATGGATCTCTGGCATCCACCTTTTCAACCCTGAAGTGTTTCCTAGCTCTGTTCTGAAGTCTGCTTCCTAATCCAAGTATAGGTTTCGCATTAACACAACTAAGTGTTCTGGGATTCCCATTCTTTCCAAGGTTATCCACAAATTGTTGTGATCTACACAGTATAATGCCTTTGCATAGTCAATGAAACATGGACACTCTTCTGATACTCTCTGCTTTCAGCTAAGATCCATCTAACTCGTTGGCTATAATGTCCCTAGTGCCACAGCCTCTTCTAAATTCTGCTTGCACATCTGCCAGTTCTCTGTCTCTGTACTGTTCCAATTGCTCTTGCTTGCATGTGATACTGTTCTGTAACTTTCACACCTTACTGGATCATCACTTTTTTGAACGAGAATAAATATGGATCTTTTCCAGTCAGCTGGCCAATAGACATCTTCCAGATTTCTTGGCACAACCTAGTGAGTGCATCCAGGGCTGTATGTGTTTGCTGAAATACATCAACTGGTATTCTATCAATTACTGGGAATTTGTTATTTATCAATTCCTTCAGAGCAGCTTGAACTTACTCTTTCATCACGATTGCCTCCTGATCATATGCTGTTTCATGAAATTCTTCTGTGTTAGCCAATTCCTTTTGGCATAGTGACTCTGTGTACTCCCTCCATCTTCTTTTGATGTTTCCTAGATCATTCAACATTGTCCCCATAACATCCTTAAGTACTGCAACTCAAGGCTTAAATTTATTCTTCAGTTCCTTCCACTTAAAAAATGCCAAGCGAGTTCCTGTGTTATGCAAATGACGTTACTTGCTGAAACTTAGGAGAATCTAAAGCATTTGCTGCAGAAGGTCAAGGACTGCCTTCCATATGAATTGAAGCTCAACATTAAGAAAACAAAGATTCTCATCAATGGGCCAATTGGCAGCATTATGATAGACAAGAGAAGAGATGTGCGATTGTTAACAGCTTCAGCTCGCTTGGCTCCACAATCAACACTTTTGGTACCAGTAGCCAGGAAATCAAAAGATAAATTGTATTGAAAATCTGCTTTCAGGGACCTCTCCAGAATACAGAAAAGCAGTGACGTCAGTCTAGAAACTAAGATACATATGAGCCAAGCCATGGTCTTAGCAATTACTTGCTATGTATCAGAAAGATGGACAATGACTATGGATGAGAAAAGAATTGATGCCTTTGAGTTGTGGTGCTGGAGAATAATGTTGAACATACCATGGACTGCCAGGAGAAGAAAAAGGTCTGTTCTGGAGAAAGTAAAATTAAGTTTCTCCTTGAAAGCAAGGATTTTGAAGCTCTGTTTCACATACTCTGGGCGGGGAGAAGAACATCACGCTTGGGAGGGTGGAAGTACAGCACATTAGAAGAAGACCCTGAATGAGATGGACTGACTCAGTAACTGGGGTAATGAGGATAAGTGTCTTGGAGACAATGAAATTGGCTTACAATAGGGCAAAGTTCAGAGTTATTGTTCATAGGCTTGCAGGTGACTTGATGGCACTTAACAATACTAAACTAAAACCTTAAGGTGACAATATGTAGGCAAAAATGAAACCATGATGAATAAAACAGATTCAGTTCTTAGGGGGTTACAGTAAAAGAAAATAAAATCCCTACATCCTACCTTCACAAAAAATAAAACTTTGTTATGTTTTGTGAGCGACTGGGCCAGGGAAGATCTCTCTGAAAAAAGTAATTAAAGGAGAAGGAAAGCCTTTACAGGTAGAAACAATACCACAAGCTGAAATCTTGAGGCAAGAAAGAGCTTGGAAGTCTTGAAAAGCTGAAAGAGGAGTTTTGGAGTGAGACAAGGCCGTCAGCGATCATGTGCTACAAAGCCTGCCGTTTATGGCAGTGGTTTACAACAGAGCCAGGATCATGTGGCAATGTCTATAAAAAGAGGTAAAGATACAAGTTGTCAATAATTTGATTTTACTTGGATCCAAAAATGGAAGGAGCGATCAAATGATGTACTGCAGCAGAAACATCTGCAGCAAAGGACTTTAAAGCAGAGATCAAGGATATAATTTTAAGGACTAACAAGCACCTGATCTAAGCTATCATCATCAGTAAGAAAGACTAAGTAAGAATTGATGCCTTTGAATTGTGATGCTCGTGAAGATAATAGACTATGTAATGGACTGGCAAAAGACCATGCACATTTATCTTGGAAGAAGTGCAGATAGAATGTTCTTTAGAAGCGAGGAAATTTTGTCTTACATAACTTTGGACACATTACCAAGTAAAACAGAATAAGGTCAGTGAAAAAGAGGAAGCTCTTCAACGAAATGGCTTGATGTAGTGGTTCAAGTTCAGTGCTTCATTCTGTGGTTATGGTTGTGTAATATGGGTCAGAGTCAACTTAAATAGTACCTAACAGTAACCGACAGGGGGCTCTGGTAGCACAGTCCATAGGGTGTTGTGCAACTACTCCCTATGTTACCAGTGGCTCTGTGAGAGAAGGATGGGCAATCTTTCTGCAGAATTTATAGTCTCCAAAACACCAGTGGGGCCAGCTATGATATGGTTCCAACTGGACAGCAATGAACTGAATGAGTAACATATGCTTGGTTGTCACATGGAGAAGAGGAGTACCTGTCACAGAAAAGAATGATCTGTCTCAAAAAGTCAATATTGCTGCAATAGAGAAACTGTCATCTTGAGGGAGGGTTTAGGACTTTATTCTAAATTCGATGAGAAGTCACTGAAATATTTTAAATAGGAGAATGATCTGATTTACATTTTAAAATGTTTACTCTGGCTGAGAACAAATTATTAGAGGCTAAAAAGAAGCAGAAAAGCAACTGCAAAGCGGCTACTGCAGTTGCTGTGGCAAGAAGTGATAGTGGGTAGGCTTCAACAGACAAATAGTAAGTTAGGGGAACTTCTGAGAATAATCTCATTTGGGGTTGAAAAACAACAAAAATTTAATCACTGGGTTTTCATATAAGTTGAGGGGATAGTGGCAATGGCTGCCTGAAAGAAAAACAGAGAAAAGTAGGTTCTGGGGTCTAAAATTGAGATTTACGTTTAGAAAGGTTATGACTGAGATGCTCAAAACATTCAGTTAAGTAGGCTCTTTAAGAAGGCTACAAAAAAGCAACTGTGGCTGAGAGGAAAGGTTTGGCTGAATAAATAAATTTGAGAGCTTTGAGTATACGAGTGAGTTTAAAGATATGGGGAAAACAATAACTATTTTGAGGTAATCTCATCTTCTCAACCATTTATTATCAGTGTATTAACTCTGAGGATAGTCTCATACTGTTTTCTTAATCCCTCGTAATAGTAAGCCAATTTGCGTAGTGGTATCACAGCCTACAATCTTTAAGACAGACATGATTTTATTCAAGAGAGGTCATACAATATTTGTCCTTTTGTGATATACTGAAGCATACACCTGGTGGCTAAGTGGTTTGTAGTTAACAGGGGTCAAAAGGAGGGAAAGAAGATGCACTGGTCAAAGGTAGGCCTGTACTACAACTCCAACTGCTGTCAGTTACACCCTGTCAAAAGCTGAACTGAAAAAAGTTGTGATGGATATAGTTACAACGGCCAAAAAGAGACGGCATAGCTGCTGAAACTGCTTACATATAACTAGAAACTGCAAGGCTCCAGGTTCTTTGCTTTGAAGGTTTAGAGTCAGTGGTTCTGTCCTAACTCCTAGTTCCTGTGTAGTGCCCAGGGTCTAAAGAGCTTGTATGCATTCATTCAAGTCACAACTGGGTCTCTATTTACATGTAGTAACAAAGGAAGGAGGCAAGCCAGGAACCAGAGGGGCATATTTATTGGAAACGTATGATCAATTGTCTCCATAAGCAACTAACTTCCTTTTCCTTTGCAGAGAATTGGATGGTGCCCAGCTACAATTATTGCACATTATGATCAGATTCCAAAGACAAATCCTAACTGGAAAAATGCAGAATGGAATTTCACACGCCGATGAATTCTGTAACTTTCTGGAGCCATGAAGGATATAATCCTGAAAACTATTGCCCTGAGATAATTTTTAAACCTTAAACCAAAAATATCTCCTGAGATAATTTTAAAGAATGCCTGCTATGAACATTATGCTCTCAGACGAACTATCTATCTGGGATCAGACAGACAACTCCAAAGAACCTCAGGGGGCACTGTGTTTTTGTTAATGAAGGAGGTAAAACTAAAAGAAAAAGGAAAGTGAGAATGGCTGCACAGCTGGAAGAATAGAGTCAGTGTTATTAATCTGTGCATGCAGAAAGGGTTGATCTGGTGTATGTTCTGCAGTTTTATTTTCAATAACAACAACAAAATAAATAAAATTTCAACTCAACAAACTAAACTCATTGCCATCAAGTCGGAAGGACTCACAGCTGACCTGCCAGTGGGTTTTCATAGGCTGTCAACTCGATGGGAGAACACTGCCCATTTTTCTCCCATGGAGCCGCTGGTGGATTTAAAATCCCCTGACTTGGATTAGCAGCACAACTCCTTACCCACTATGCCACCAGCGCTCCCTGAAAGAAAATTTAGAAAGGAGGATAAAAAGGGCGGGGGGGGGGGAAGATGACTTGATTATTCTTGGTTGAAAATTTCCTCAGAACCCAGACCACAATAGAGAAATAAACACCTGATACTGTTTGAACACAGTCCTACTATTCTGGAGTGATATTTTACAGTCTTTTTTTATTTTGTTATTACTCATCTGTCTTGAAGAGTGATCATAAGGATGAAACATCTAACACTGCTTGAGATGTGTTTGAAAGTGACTATAATGTAACTATTGCTGATTCTTTTGCATAATGATGATGATAGGAAAAAAAGAAACCATCATCAAAATGACTGATTCTTGCCTATCAGTAACAGTATTATCTTGCATATAAACTAAAACTATCCAATTCAATAAAACAGGATTATTTTAAGGTGACTTACCTACATCTCCATATACTTGTGAAGAGGGATACTGTGGCATATATTGTGTTGCCATATCTCCAGCACCAGTCACTGGTGGGTACATATGGTGTGGTGGAGGTGGCATCATGGTTGGGACAGGAATGAAACCAGGCAAAGGAGGATGTGGAGAACGATGTATCACTGTGTGACCACCAGGGTGAAACTCTGGTGCCTGTGGAACCACAACAACTCTTCGAACACCATTGTCTTCAATAACCTACAAAATCAGATTAAAAGTTTCTTTTTCTGAAAAGAGTTGTATCAGACTAAGAAATCTTAGACTAGTAAATAAAAATTTAAAGAGTCAACATGAAAAGAATTTATTAAGTACAGTAGATATATATGAAACAGTATTGAATATGAGGTGGCTTGTTAATGCCATAAAAAATTTAAAACACTGATGAAACTACCTAAGCAATAATATAAGCAAAAAAGAACACGACAGTGTTATTTATACTGTCAAGTATATTCAGTGAAGAAGTAATAATGAAGAGAAATTTAAGGGAATTTCTCCTTAGGTATGATGGGAATAAGCAAATAATTTCTGTTCCGTATGAGGGGAGAAGAGAGAACAAGTTATATAGAAAGATCAAATAAAAAATGGAAAAAAACTCCAAATCCAAACAAACCCCTGAATTAAGAATCAGAAAGCTAAACCACATAACTGGAATTTTAGAGAAAAGATTCTTATTACCATAACCAGGACAATTTTAACAATTGATTATTTTAAGGGAGATGAACACCAGTTATATATTAACCAGTTAAGGAAAACATCTTTGCCTTTGAGGCTTAGAAATAAGTTTTTTTGATGGTCACACTCTTGAAACAGATTTTTTTTAAAACATTTTTACTGTGATTTGAGTGAAAATTTACCTAACAAACTGGTTTTCCAATCAACCACTCACATACATTTTTAATGTAATTAATTACAATCCTCACAGTGTACCAGAATTCTTCTCACTTCTGCACAGAGGTTCTCATTTCCTTTAATCCTGTACCTTCCTCCTCGCCTTCTAAGTCTGGGCAAAGGCTACCCTTTAGCATGGCTGACTGTTCTAAGAAGCAATTAGCTCCCTGCTGCTAGTGTTCACCTTATACCGTACTGTTTAACGAAAATAGAGCACCGGGCTTAGTTCCAGGCTCAAAGGAGGACTAAGGGTTACAGCCTCTGGGGTTCCATCAGTTTTTACCAGACTATTAAACCTGGCTATTTTTATGATTTTGGATTTTGTTTCACATTTCTCTCCCACTATGACCAGTACCCCCTACTATCATTCCCATTAGAGAAGTGAGCATTTAATTCTTCTGGTCTTAGGTTTGTAGAGTTTGAGATTTGCATGGATCCTTGGACCAACTGAACGGTTTTGTATGCATCTCTGTTTTTCTTCATTCTAGAAAGGGACAGACCCAACACTTTTACCTTTGATAACTTCCCTCAAGCTTTTTAAGACCCCATTCACTACTCAAAAGTAGATCTAGAACACTATCTCTGTGGACAATGTTATACCAATTGATCTGACATTTTCCGAGATTATGGTCCTGAAGACCTAGGTTCAGCAATGTTTTCCCTTAGTGTATTTGGTTATGGTTAAGAAGCTTACACAACATTGCCCCCTGCTGGTTCTGTGATACACATGAGTGTATTTACAACATACACTACTATGAATGTAGCAATATCATGTGTTATATATCTTTGTATGGTCACAGGTCCATGTTCATATAAAGCTTATCTGACTATGTATCTACTTGCAGATTAATGTTTATAATTTTTTAAAATTGAAATGATATATGAAAAAAAAAATCCAGTAAGGAGAGGAAACTCACTCTAAGTGGGGAACAGAAAAACAAACAAACAAAAATTAAAATAACCCAAAAAACTGCCACGGAGTCACTACTAACTCATAGTGCCCACCAGGCCTAAGGCTATAAATTACAATGTGAAGAGCCTGTCACTGTCTCCCAGTAAGCTGCTGGTGAATACAACCACTGGAGATATCTCTGCATTAGTGGTACAACTTGGAATGAACCATACCACATACCAGTAGAGCTCCCTGAAAGGGTACACACTGCAGTATGAACAGGTGCCTCAGGCAGACTTCATGTGAAGAAAAACTCGAAGTGAAGGAGTCAGTCATGTGAAATGGAAGCTCATTCTGGGAAGAGGGAATACTTAGAACAAAACCTCTAAGGTAGAAGTGAGTCTGAATGTACTCATAGAATGCAACGAAGCCAGCGGGTGAAAATCATAGTAGGGGGCAGAAGCAAGTAATGTCAGAAAGATAAGCGAAAATGAGGAACAGCAAAGTCACACAGGGTCAGAGAGGTTATTAAAGGTTTTTCGGTATTTACTCTCAGTGAAAGAGGTAACTATCACAAAGTTTTAAACAGGAGAGTGGCCAGTGTTTCCAATCAAGGGATAATTTTATTCCCTCTTAGACACGTGGCAATATGTAGAGATGTTTATTGTGGTCACAACTTAGACTGCATACTACTGACATTTAGGGGGTAGTGGGTACAGAGGTCATGGATGCTACAGTGAAAAATTATTCAGCCTCAACTGTCTCCAGTGCCAAATCAAATTGTGTCAACCTAACACAATTTTGGTGGGATTACTCTGACTGCTAAATTGAGACTAAACTGTAGGGGAGGCAAAGAGCAAACATTTAGGAAACTACTGCAGCAATCTAGGTATAAAGAGGATGTGACTTGAATAGTATGGTCCCATGGGAGGTGGTAAGGAGTAGTCTATATTGTGAATATATTTAAAGGCAGAACAACAAGATTAGCTGATGACTATATGTCTGAAGTGAGAAACAGACGTTAACTTTGAATAAGATAAGAAGAGATGGCATGGAGTATGCCAGTGATGATATGAGGCCTATTCAGAATAAAAAGTCTGTCTCTCTTATAGGTAAAGAAGCTAAATATGTGGGTTGAAGGAAGGCAGACTGCTCCTGGATGAACACTTGCTAGTCACACAGTCTCAGTGACATCTCTCACCTCTAATTTCCGACTACATTTATCCCGTGGCACTTGGGTGGTCTTAGTAGTATTGGAGCGCTTGCAGAAGTACTGGTGGTTTAATGGCAGAATTCTAGCATAAAAATGGATTGGATTGTGGCCAATACACCTCAAGAGTATCCACTACCCATCTAATAGTGATTCTGCATATGGCCATGAAGCTGAAGAATACATGTATGTAAGCAAAATGTCTAAAATAAGAACAACGAAGAAGACAGACCTGCCAATCTACTGTCAAAAATCAGTCAATGAAAACCTTATGGATCCCAATGGTCTGATCTGCAAGTTATTAAGATGGTACCATGGCAAATTAGGTCAAATGTGTTGGAGATGATGAGGCTGGCTCAGGATAGGGTGCTGTACATAGGATCGCTATGAGATGATTTGACGGCACGTAACAACTTGTGTCATCTGGATGTTACGTGAACACTGCATCATAATCTTGTCCTGTCATTTTCTTTCAGTATCTTCAATAAGCCTTCTGCCATTTCACTCAGTGGGAACGGACTCATAGCTGACCCTCATAGGATTTTCAGAGGCTGGTAATCACATTGGGGGAGAAGGTCCCATCACTCTTCCTCGGAAGAGCTGGTGGATGTGAACTACCCACTTCTGGGTTGGCAGCACAATTCCCATCAACTAGGCTACATGAACACCAATAACATTGGAGCTCCAGGAGCTATGGCAATGATCAAAGTACTCAGTCGGATTCCCTTTTGGGTTTGGTTATTAATCTACCATATCACTAATTTCTCCATATTAGACATAGTTTCCCTAGCATTTTCATTGGCCTTGTAGCTTTTAGTGGAGTTAATTCTTCAACAGGTTGGGCCATTTTTTCTGATTTTAAGGATCCTTGACTGTCTCAGCAGTAATATTTACTCATTCTCTACTCTGTGTTATTTAATAACCATTTGTTTCAATTTCTAATCACTACTACTCCTTTGCCTCTTACTGCTACATTGTAAAAAGGTGAATTTTTTAGAAAGTACAGTACAAATGAGCAACACAGCTGTTTATTATAATTATCAAGATAAAAGTATTATAAGTTATATACGTATAATAACATTTTATGCCAAGAGACACAAGACAAAGGTGTGGCATATGGAAAGAAGTTACTATGTTCCACTTTCTGACTGGGATTCCGGAACTGTTAAACTTTATGGGACCACAGACATATACTATGACAGAGATGCTCCAATAGGAAGGTGTGAAATGTATGACTGTACTTCCATTCTTCCCAGGAGTCAGTTCTCCTTTTGCGGCACTTCATATGGTTACATGCCACTGAGCTGATCTGGACTTCTGGTTGACTCATGTGAGCAGAGAACTGTGCTCCGTGAGGTTTCGACGGCTATGAGCTTTCAGGAGCAGCTCACCAGGCTTTTCTTCGGAGTTGTCTCTGGGTGGGTTTGTACTCTCAATCTTTTGGTTAGTAGTACAGTGTGTAGTATCTATACTACATAGGGATGCCCCTTAATGGTGGGCTTTATATATTTGACAGTGTGCTTATTACAGTATCCCACTAATATTTTGACAAAAACAGACATGAAGAGAGGCCTAAAGCAAAGTTCAGGTAAATGTGAAAAGGAAAAAAAGAAAAATGAAAAAGAGTAAATGTGGTACCAGGGCAAAGAAGGTGTCTATTTTCAGACCGGACTTCAGGTAATGCATGCAGCCTACTTAGAATCTCAGCAAGGGGAGATATTTATTTAACACCTGCAGATCTTACAGTTCAATCCAGTTTAAAAATGTTTAGTGTATAGGTCGTTGAGTTGGAACCGACTTATCACTGAGCCTCTAGTGAGTTTTCAGAGGCTGTAAACCACACAAGAGGAGACTTCCCATCTCTCCCTCATGGAGCAAATGGTGGCTTTGAACTGAGTGCCTCTGGCTTGGCAGCACACTTGGCCACCAGAATTTCAGAATAAATAATTAGCTGTACCTTATTCATGAAGTCAGAGCTTCCCAATTAGGGTGCAGGAAAGAATGATACTAATCCCCTAAACTTTTCGGATTACAGGAGTAAATACTCTTTTATCTACTATAATGTGCCATCTAACCTCTAGTGGTTCAGTGGTGAGAATTTGGCTGCCCATCTAAAGGCACTTGGATCCAATCTACCATCTGTTTCAAAGGAGAAAGATGGGCATCTCTTCTTGTGCTATTTACTGCCTCTGAAAACTCGCTGGAGGGACAGCTATAAGCAGGTTCCCACTTGATGGCACACAATAGCAGCAATTACTAGTTTCTCTGTGTCATAGTATGAACAGGGTTAGAAGCACTGTGTTGGGTTATCCCAAAGCAAATAACTATTTAAAAAGAATGTTAAGGTTTATTTTTATCATTTAAGATATGTTAATATTCACATATTAAAGAAGATGAAACTAATAAATTCATTTTCTAACTAATTATTTAAAGATAAGACCAAAGGAAGAATATTGTCAACATACAGGCCATGGTCTTTGCAATCACTTGTTATGCATCAGAGAGTTGGACAATGACTAGAGAGGATAGAAGCAGAATTGATGCCTTTGAGCTGTGGTGCTGGAGAAGAATACTGAATGTACCATGGACTCCCAAGAAAACAAACAGATTCATCCTGGAGAGGGTTAAACCAGGCTACTCCTTGGAGGCAAGGATTCTGGGGCTTCGTCTGACATGTTGTAAGGAGGGACAGGTGCTTGGAGAGGGACATCATGCTTGGGAAGGTGGAGGGACAGCGCAGGAGGGGAAGACCCTCTATGAGGTGGATTGATTCAGTGACTGGGGTAATCGGGATGGGTGTGTCGGAGGCAGTGCGATTGGCACAGGATAGAGCAGGGCTTAGGGCTGTTGTACATAGGGTTGCTATGAGTCGCAAGCAACTCGACGGCACATAACAATGACAACATTCCCATCCTCTTAGCATATTAATATATCTGAAACAGGCTTACCAAAGTTAAACAATATTATAATCCTGAACTATTAAAATAGTAATTTTTCATCAAAATAAAAGCTAAATAAAGAGTAATAGCACGGTTACACTTACAAAGACAGAAAACTAACACAAAAACCTACCTGTGGGGCATATCCAGGAGGCACATAAATAGGAGGCACAGAACCATTTGGAGACATCATTGGAACCTGAGCAGGACCTGAAAGGGTTAAGGGGATGTTGTATAAACCCACAAGGTATGACAAGCCAGAGTTAAAAACAATCTTAATTATGCTTAGAATGCTTCTAACTAACATAATAGTGATTGACTGTGTTATGATGAAAAGAAGTTCAGATGGTTGAGTTGCTATGAAGTAGAAAAGCTGTCTTGTACAGTGTATGTCTCTTTACTAACAGGAGTGCTTTTAAAACTCCTCTGGTGATAAGAGTCACCTGGGAAAATCTTCAAACACACATTTTCTGGCTACCATCACTCACTGCCACCAAGCTGAAAACAACTGGAGCGATTCTCCATCTGGGTTCCGAGACCTGTGGCTCTTTGGTCCACTGGAGAAGCATAGTCTTTTGAGTAGCAGCTCAATAGACCACCAGAGCCCCTTAAGCTATTGTAGAGATTAACTCTGAAAACCAACTGTTTTTATACCATATTTGACTCACAGCAACCTTGCACTGGGTTTCCGAGGCTGTAAAACTTTAGTGCAGGAGGCTGCTTATTTTTCTCCCATGGAGTCTGACCCACAGACTTTTTAGCAAGACTCCTTTGAGATACAATGTTTAAAATGGTCCTGAATCAGGGTATTTCAGTTGCAAATATTCCAGGTAAGTCTTAGGATTGTGCAGGCTGAGAAATGCTGACATAGAGGAAAATAAAACTAAAGTTATGAAACACTAAATTTTAAAAACTAGTAAGAAAAAGTAAAAAAGGAAAAGCAGTTAAATGGGAGAATAGTTAAAAATTTCAAAATATTTTTGTTAGGGTTAAAGAATTCTTGTGTACTAGGTAAGCTGTCTCTCTGGTGCTTAAAAACAGAAAAAATGCTGTTAAGAGTATATTTACCCAAGGGAGAAAAATTTTTTATTGTTCCTTATATGGTTAAGTTCTTTTTCTTTTAAATAAGTGAAAACCAGCTTGTCTTACTCCTTTAACTCCTTTTATTTGTATAGTTTATCTAATTGCTGTCATAAATCCTATCTTAAGTACATTTCTATTCTAATTTTCCTGGGAATAAACTTCTGGAATAGGTGGTTTATTTTTTCTAGAGCTTAAATCTTATTTGCCTTACACAACTCTAATATCTCATCTTTAGATCCTTTCTTTGCCATAACCTCAAAGAGAAATTCTTCTGAGGAGATAATGTTTAGACTGCAAGAGTCTGATTAAAAACATAGTAAGGGAGCTTCTTTATATGTATAGTTTTAATATACAGAGTTCACATAAAGGGTCTCAGTTATCTTCTACATAAAAAAAATGAAAGAGGAAAATCTTAGAAAAGAAACAAATTTCACTGGTAACATTATACATACTTTAGAAAACAGAATGAAAAGCAGGACAGTTAGAGCAAACCTGGATTAGTCTCCTCTAAGGAAGAAGGCGGGCTGAGGACTGAACAAAGTGTGCGTGGAGGATGTCTAAAGGGGGAGGGGAAAATAGCTTGTTGGAAAAGGGATGTAGGAGGAAAATACGAAACTGTGGTTAGCAAAGGAGCGGGGAGAAGAGGGGAGAAAAGGGAAGGATGGCAAATGGAAAACCATGAAGGATGGAACGAGAGGTAAGATGAGAAACGGGGAAGATAGCTGCTGTGGGAGAGAGAGAAAGATGGGCAAATTCTCCCACCCCCAAACCTGCTGGAGGGTCACTTATGATTGGTTCCGACTTGAAGGTACACACAACCACAGAGCACCAGAGCTCCCTTACGTGGTAGGGACAGTCAAGGAAATGGGGACCATACTTGGTTAAAGAGTGAAAAGAGTAAGGACAGTGCTGTTTGTTTGTAAGAGACTAACAAATTACATTAGTAATAACTATAAAGTTTCTCAACAAAATACATCCCCATCTACAGTAACCCCCCCTAAATAAACAAAAATGTTAAAAAATTATCTTAAACTACCTAAGGAGTTTAATATTTAGAGACAGAGCCCTAGTGATGCAATGCATAACCTATCAGGCTACTAAAAATGCAAGATCAGCAGTTCAAATAGTGGCTCTGCCATTTCTAAAGGGAGGGGAAAAGCAAAGCTTTCATTAATTTTATATTCTTGAAAAACAAAGAGAAGAAGGAAAACATTTTCCTACATTCAAGTCACCACTATCTAGTAATTTACCGAGAACTCTTATGTGGTGCTTCTTTATACCTCTTGGCAAGAAAACAATTCACTTCTAAAAGCTGGGCTCAAAGAGAAAAAGAGCTCCTTTGCTTAATTCCACTGGTCAATTTACATAAAACTATAGTGAACTATCACTGAAGCACAAAAACTGGATAAAATAAGTACCCATTAAATACATGAAAATTAACTGAGAAAAAAAATCCCACTGAAAGTGGTACTTACAATTTAAATGATTACAATAAAGAAACTCCTACTACATTAAACTATTAAAGCTACTGTTTTTTTTCTCCTTCAGGTTGTTCCCCCCTTTAAAATATTTACTGTTGGTTATACTTAAAATCATGAGACTACTTAGCTGATTTGGACTGCTTTCCACTATCTAGAACAATACAAATATTATTAAATGCAAACCACAGTGTATCTTGATAGCTGCTTTAAGTATAGTTAAAGGTAGTATTGAGCACAGAACAAAACAAATCTAATCTAAAATAAATCAGCAGTAATATATTACTAGTCAAGGTCCATGTATAATGATTAACTCATTTCTCTACAAAACAATCATTTCACTCTTTCAGATAAATTTTCATACCTAAGGTTTTGGGTTTTTTTTAAGAAAAGAATTTATTGGTACCACATCTTAACATCTAATGTACTGGTATAAAGTAACAAAACAACACTCAACACTTAAAAACTCCACTGCACAGTATACCCAAATATTAATAGTTAGAACAGTGCTCATAGCATTATTGTTTACAGCACCATGTCTGTAGCAAAAACCTACACTCCTTAGTGCCAAGAATATTTTTCAATTTATGAAGTACGAAAAGATTAAACCGTAAGAGTGGACTTATTTCTGTGTGGTGTGAGGGGAATTTTGACCCAAGGCAAAAGCTAAATCTGCTATAATTTGTATCATTAAATGCACACCAGGCAAGAGTTGCAGCAATGAGCAATGTGAATACATATACATAGTAGCTCCTTCTAATAATCTGAGAAAAATCTATGCAATATCCTCTAGAAGAAATTCTATTCATCAATACCTTTAGAATTTAGGAACCTTCTCAAATTCTTCAAAAAGTGCCACTAATGCCTTAAAAAGATAGATAATTCATCTTGCATAAATGAACGTTTTCTTTACTACTATTAATTCACATCTAACAGTTTGGTTTTTTTAAAAACGAAACTACTAATTTGTCCAAGAGTTTAAATTCTTACAGAGCAACTGGCTGAAGTGCTACACATTTCCTTCATAAGGAAGCTTTCACAATGGCTCCCAAATAATCTGAAACCAATTTTCAGATTTTAGCTTTTAAAACAAAAAGCTAGTAAAATAAAGGTGCTGGAATGAAATACTCTGCAGAATCTCAAATCAGCCTAACTCTGAATATAATCTAATAATTTTATAATTACCTAGCAACAAAATATTTTTAGCGATTATATTTAACACCGATTTTAAAAAAATCCAGAGCATGATTATGATTTAGATTAATATAATGCTATGTTTCAAAATAAAAGCATAATATTAAAATAGTCAAAATCTTACCACTCATTTTGTTTTTACAGTAGCAGCAGTGAACAGAAAACCCAACAAGGAAACAGCGTAGTACACGTTAACAGCTTTAATTGGCGAATGCTTTCTTTTTTTTCAAAGCTGTAAGAGGAAAAGATCCTTTGACCGAGTCATGTGATAGGCAGCACGTGACCTGCACTGAACCCGGGAAAGAGAATGGAAAAAAAGCTGTATTCCCGGAGCAGTGCTTCTGATTAAGGAAAATGTTTTGCAATGAACGCTTCTGCCTTGAATCTGATCACCGTTTATGTTTCCTTGTAAAGTAATTAAAAGCTCAGCAAAATATCCCTGCAACCTTGGAATTGTTTGGACTCAAACGGACCCCCACTGGGCTCCCTAGGCTGTAAATGTTAATGGGGATTTACACTGATTTAGTAGGAAGAAGGGGCGCTGCAATTCCATATGCAGCTAGTTCGAATTCATCAGCTGCTCTGCAGGAGAAAGCGGGGCATTTTCCTCCCGTGAGATTAAATGCGTCTGATAAACTGGTCGAGGGGTCACCTATGGGTCAGTTCCGACTTGACGGTACACAACAAGTTGTTTAGGTGCTGTTGAGTCGAGTACGACTCACAGCGACCCTATGGAAACAGATCTGAACCCTGTCCTAACCCCAAATCTACTTGAGTGCACTGCTGCAGCTTCATGAAAAGCTGGTGAGTGGCCTTGTGGTTTGCACCCCAACATGCTTGGGACTTTGCTGTCAGAACGCCTTTAACTCCTCAAACATTAACCTCTCATTCTCATGTTTTATTTATCCAGTCTGCTGCTTTCCATTTTTAAAGTTTAAAATTTGTTAAAGGGGAAAAGGGAACTCTGATGGCCTTGCGGGAAAGAGGTTGTGTTGCCAAGCCAAAGGTATAAAGTTCAAATTCACTAGCTGCTCTACAGGGTAAAGATGGTAAATCTCTTTCCTTGAGATTTACAGCTTCTGAAACCTGCTGGAGGATCAGCAAGGAGTCACTTCTGACTTGACCTCAACTACTACCACAACACTATTGCCCGTTGTAAACTTTTTTTTTTTTTTAAATACCACATTTCTGTTTTGTTTTTCCACCTGTATAAACGAGGAACCCAATGTCACAGAAGGGAAGACAGGCATACCCCTTAGTGTAGTGAGATGGGGTGGGGGTGGAGAAGAAGAATATGTCTCAAAAGTAAGGGGAAGCAGACATCATTAAGGCAGCAAAACATTCTCCATAAAAAGTTGGGGGGGGGGGTTCCAAAGCCTCAGCATGAAGGCAGAGGCTAAAGTAGATTGCCTTATCAATGGAGAGGAGGGTTTCTCTACTCAAACATCCAAAGAC